TATCGCTTTTTTAATAATATTTCGTCAGTAGTCACAAAAATTTGCCCAAAACCCAGAGTTAATCGTTTTTAATTAGTATTTTGATCGTCAGAAATGTAGTACATAATTATATTAGGATAAAAAATTGGAGGAAAAAAAATATACAAAATGACAAAAAAATTAGAGAAAAAATTATTTATTTAAATATATTTGTAGTAATAAATAATAAAAATATAAAAAATCGATCAAGAACAATTAATAGGGTTACCCTGACCATCTAACAAATGATCCTGTGGATTATTGAGATATTTAGGTCCATCTCCTATTTTAGTGTATATCATACATTTAAGTTGTCCTGGTGGATACTTTTGAAACTTTAATTTCTCCAAGAGATCCTATACAAGATAATACTTTTGTAACAAAAGCTATTTCATAAATACACATTTAAATAATGTATCTACATATATCAATTGATATATACTTGAGAAGGTTTAATTTCTTCTACAGGTAATCCTCTTCTATATTCAATAGCGTTTTCAGAAGGAGGAAAGAAGTGATCTAAAACACCTATCACTGCTGGTACATCTTTCTCTAATAAATATAACGTAGCATTTGGCCCAGCGTCATAAGTATAAGCAACCTAACAATGTGTCTCGTTAATAAAATAAAAAGTATCTAGCCATTTTTATGCTATAACTTGTAGACAAATATTTTATATACTTTTACATCGTTAACTGCATCATTATAGGAATGTACAAGATTCATGATATTGTTAGAAATATTGTTCATATAAATGCATGGAGGATATGTATCCAAACACACAGCATGAAACTGATTAGAATCCTTCATAGTGAGTTCGGCAAAATTTTTGAAATCCTTCTCAATGATTGCTTGTTGCATTTTATTCGCCCGTTCCGGGACTACATGCATTATTCTATGTTGCAGGAGTTCAGATGTTTCTATGCTTCGTTTCATACCTATTGCACTTGAAACTTTTTTTTGTTCATCGCTAACCTGTAGATTTATATTTTATAAATATCTCTGTTATCTCTCTTTGTTATCATATCTACTTTTCTTATCAATACATGTAGAAAAAAGTTTCTTTCGTTACCACTAGCACTAAAATTCTCATTTCAGACCAATGAGACGCAGGCACGATTTGCTTTGCTAAACTGTCTGTCCCATTCTTATCTGAACCCATATACCATCTTACAAAACCACCCATAACACTGCGACATGCTGATCCAGAACCAGAACGCGCTATAATACTAATGTCTCCCTACAGAGATGTACAATATTCAGAATACATACAACATAATTTTAAAATATATTAAATGTATTGAACAGAAGAAATAAATTATCATACTTCTATTTTGTAAAGCTTGGCTAATGCTGCTGTAAGACATGCATATCCTGCAGCACTAGAAGCTAAACCAGCAGCGGTCGGAAAATTATTCTTTGAACATATACGAATCTTCCAATCGTTTGTATATCCAGATAATTGTGAACGTTTCCTAACTTAAAAAAAATCTTAGTTTAATTTACAGTAAACATTTTTAAGAAAACTCCCATGCACTAACTTACTCTCTTTTAAACAATTTTGAAGTCTTGTATTTTTTATATCTTCTTCTCTGAAAATGTCAGTTTGTTACACATAAAAATAATAATAATGAAAATAATTAAACATACTTTCCATTCAGCCAAATACGATCTTCTTTGAAATCAGAACTGATCATAACAGTAGTTTTTGCATGTAGCTATAAAGAAGATAATATTAATATATTTATATCTCTAATATATTCGCATCTTCTCCTCATACATTTAGAACTTTAAATTTACCTGAGCTGTATCTAAAGTTGCACTTATGGAATCATTAGTTGGTAAAATTAAGGATTCATCCCTCTTTCCCCCTAAAATTATACAAATCTAAAATGTTAATTTTTATTCAGAAAAACAAATATGAGGATAAAGGGTCAAATATTTCCATATCGGTATTGTAATTAAGTTTCTTACTACTTTTTACCGATAGCTATTCAAATTCAAATATATTCATGTAGCACAAATTGCGCGAATGATGATTCAAACGTTTAAAAACATGTGCGCATGTGTAATAAAATTAACTGTAGCTTAATAATAATTAATTTGTATTTATTACTTATGTAAATAATGCAATTTTCGAAAGCGAATATCAAAAGTATTTTCTGGATAATTCATTGCGACTTATGAACAATATCTTTTTTTTTCCAAATGTATGTTGTGAAAGTTTGTTACTTCAAATATATTAAATAATAAACAATTTACGATTTTATATGTGACAATTACATTAATAGATACACATCAATAGTAGTAGTAATAATTAAATTAATGGCTTCTGCCCCTAGAGAGAAATAAAAAAGCAGTTAATGTAGCCAAAACAAATTATAAACTGGAACAATGAATCTAATGCATGTTTAAAGCTGGTCACAATATATTTCCAAAAATATAAAGATGATGTAATACATGGACCTCGGACCGAAGCAGACATTCACTTCAGTTGAGAAATCTTTCGAGGCAAAGATCACATCAGCAAAAATTTTTAAACACAACAATACGTATACATATTTATGTGTGAATTGTATATATACATATATATATGTATATACATATGTACATAGGTATACAATATATATGTATATGCGCGCGCGCGCGTATTTGTATGTAAAAATAAACAAAAAATATATTATAATAAAGCATTTCAATTTCTCATTGAACAATAAAGCTTTAATTATATATGCGTACAATATTTAATAACTGCAATATTAACTGGTGCAATGCAAGTAACAGTAGTATTCATGACGTTGGTGTTTAACTGCGCCAAGTTTCCAATTTTCAAATTTCCAAGTTTCAATTTTCACTCCGAATTCAATCACTGTTATCACTCTATCAGCTGTTGCTAGAACTGCTGACTCGCTGAGTAGAGTTCTATATATACGAAAACCCGATATGATGTCCACATTTCTAATTGGCAATCTGATATGTGTTCTGATTGGATATCCCCTAAGTGAAGCAGCCATATTGTGACTGCAGCTGTTTATAGTAGAGACCCTTTAATCAGAGTCGCGACCATATAACTTATACTACTGAAAAAGATGAGCAATCAGAGAAAAGTGTGAGCAAGATCTAAAGGACAGAAATATCTTTCTATCCTCTTCTACCCTCTTTTGGCACATGCAGAAAGAAGAAAAGTTACTGAGCAAGACAGAAATATATCTTCTGTCTCTCAGTTTTTGCTCACACTTTTCTCTCATTGCTTGGATCGGCCATTCCCTCTCCAATAGTATAAGCTCTATGGTCACGACACGATTTAAGCCGACTTTTGTATGTAGATGTAGAGTATGATAGAGGAACCTAGTCACAAAAATTTCGGACCGACAAGCATATAATTTTATCCTCAACGATGTAAATGGTTATATTTATATGCTGGAAAAAATTAATATCTATATATTAATAAATACTTATCGAGCAATTACTCATTAATAATAAATTTCTTTTTATACATATAGAAATTCAATTTCGATAATCTTGTATTTAATGTATATGTGCAGACGAACAGTAATGCATCCCAATAATTTTGATTGGTTGATCCCCACTTTATTATTTTTCGGAGATTCCGTTTTCTGAAATTCCGACTGTCATGATATATCCACACAACTTGCATAGCTACGTAAACATATACATAAAGAAAATTATCCAATCGCATTTCTCTTACAAGTTGCACGTAAAATGTGATTGGATAATTTTCTTTACGCATATGTTTATGTGACTATGCAAGTTGTGTGAATATACCCTCATGAGACAGTACCCCATATGTATTATGCAATCTGTGTTTCCCGCTTTATTGACCGCGTTCAGTGGGTAACAGTGCAATTGCCCACTGTAGCAATTGCTCAC